GCACTATTATCTGTTGTTGCTTTTTTATTTGTTTGCTAAGGAAAAAAAAGAAAACGAGAAAAGAAGAACGGCATGCAATCAAAGGGACCTTCCTTGCTTTCATTCCCTATCGTTCTTTCTTTTTTTTTTTTTTTTTTATATACTACCAACCAGTTAACGATGCAAACTATGTCTTTTTTTTTTCCTCTTCTCTATTTCTTATTTCTCTTTCTTTTATAATGCCTTCGTTCTCGTCAGATGATCATCAAAAAAAACAGCGACTCAGTATTTTACTCATAGCGATTCATATACATGATGACGTGTCAATCTATCGTATGATTTATGTTGAATACAGTCATTTGATACATATATAAATGTATATTATGTAAATTTTTAAATATTTTTAGATAGACTTTTTTTTTAATATTTCAATCATGACGATGAAACGTATTCAACCAGATTGGTCATTTAAAATTTTACTTATTGGTGATAGTGGTGTTGGTAAAACATGTTTAATGTTTCGATTTGCTGGTATGTATAGAATTATTGATCTATTTCTTTTGTAATTACAAAGTGTTAAATCTTTTTAATCTTCATATATACATATATATTAAATAATTCAAATCAGCTGCTTGTATGAGAAAAGGTCAAGGTTTAAATTTTCTATATTGTCTTTTTTTTAGTTCTGTGTCAGCATGATCTAGTAGTAGGGTTATATAACTAAAGAATTCTATGAGATTTTAAACCGGAAAAAAGAATCAAAATTAATAAATATATTAAGTGAAGAAAAGCAACTTGTATTTTTCTTTTGAAAGTATTATTTTACATATGAGGTAGAATAGAATTAATTGTAAAATTTTTATTGATAAACAAGAATATATTCTTCGTAGAATTAGTCTGTTATTAATATACCACTAAACTAACAATTATATTGAATATTATAACTATACTTTACATAATGTTTTTCTATTTCTCGTCTAATAGACAACATGTTTGCTGAATCATTTACACCTACAATAGGAATTGATTTTAAAATAAAAACATTACGTGTACGAGATAAAACAGTTAAACTACAACTATGGGATACAGCTGGTCAAGAAAAATTCTTCAATATAACTCGATCTTATTATGTAAGTTAATTTTAATATTTAGATGTTCTTGTTTTTTCTTCTTATTAATTAATATGTTTCTTTTTTTGTTTGTTTGCTTGTTTTTAAAGCGTAATGCTGATGCAATAATTCTTGTTTATGATCGTACAGATGCAAGTTCATTTCAAAATATAGCACGATGGATGAGAAATATTGATGAAAATGCTCCTGATGATGTTGTACGAATATTAGTTGGTAATAAAAGTGATCTTCATGATCGTCTTATTGTATCAACACATGAAGGAAAATTATTAGCTGATAAATTTCGTGTTGATTTTTTTGAAACAAGTGCAAAATCTGATACAAGTCCAACTGTATCAAAAATGTTTTATTTTCTAACAGAAAAATTACTTGATCAAAAACAAGAAGCTGCTTTACGTGAACAACAATCAACATCAATACATCAAACAGGAAATATTAGTTTAACAAATAATTCATCAGAATCAACGTATGGAAAATTACTTGGTTGTTGTTCATCAACTAGGACTGTCGATGATTGAAATTTTCTTTTTCTTTTTTTTCTTTTTCTATTCATTTGTCTTGTACATATACGTATATAAGTATATATATACATATATATATTATCAATGTTTATAGTCTAGCATTCTATTCTTCTCGAAAAGTCTAATGTATTATGTTTTGGACATAATTTATTCAAATGAAATTTTCCATATATTTTAATGTCATAGAAAATGTTGACAGTAGACTTCAATATGACATAAATAGAATTTTATTTTGAGTTATTGAATCATTCTGAGAAATCTAAAAAAAAAAAAGAACGAACCAGTTCATCTAGTTGTTAAGAACTTAAACGTATATAAAACAATAGATAGATAGAATTCAATATATTCGAATATTGCCATGAGATATTTATTAATCTATTACGTCGAAAAAAAAACACAATTAATCGTTATTCTTTGTTAATATAAAAATTTTTAATAATTTTTTAAGATTTCATAAATGTACAATTCTAGTTAAGTTCATTCTCTTCAGTTTTAGAAGATTTATCATGAATAATTTCACTTGAGAAAACAACAGGTGCTTATCTGTTATCAATTGAATAGTACGTCATTTGCACCAAATTCAATGACACTTATCAATATACACCATCATCGACATATATTTGTATAAATTTCATTTGTCATGTTCAAGCAATATATTCTTTATAAAACTGAATAATATGATATTGTATTAGTTCATTCATGTATTTCGTTTGAAGTATAATAGACAGAACAAAGAATCGATTTAAAATTCATTTATTAACCTTGGTAACTAGAGATAAATTGTGACTGACATCCTTTTAATTCGATCTCATATTTATACAACTAAACTGTTAGACTTTTATAGAATAGCTCTTTCTTACATTTAGAGTTACATAATTATATTTGAATAACATGAAAGGTGGTACTACTATGTTAAGAACTTGTTTTTATTAAATATTGATTCTATTCTACGTAATAATACTAAACCAATCGATATAAATCGTCTGAATCAAATATACTTCATTCTATTCAAATAGAATCATTCATAAAATATTATAAACATGTTAGCAGTTCAATTATGTAATAATAATTATGTAACACCTAATCTTACACATGACAACAACATATTTCTAATGATCAATTTATGATTATTTGTAGTTGTTACGTTTGAAGGTTCTTGAAACAATTATGAAAAAGTAAAAAGTCTCATTGACGTATCACCATACAACTATTTATATAAGCTTCTTAAAATACTACAAATTTATTTTCAAGTACTTATAAATAACTAAAGACTATAATCTATTGATTAAAACATCAAATTATTGTGTAATTCAATATTTGATTTGAGAGATAAACTAATATTTATTTTGTTGTTTATTCAAAAAAAAAATAATTTCTCTCATATAACTACATATTCTTTCATGATTCATTCGATAAATACTAGTCGAAAAAAAAACTTGTTAAAAATCAAGTATGCGTTATTCTTTTGAATTTTATTACTCTTTAGATACATGAAATATGGTGAATTTCATAATAGTTCTTTTACTTCAAAATTGTTCTATACTTTTTCGTTGGTGATAATAAGCCGAACAATGAAAATAATTAAAAACAAAATCAAGAGTTAATCGTATTCAACAAAATTTAATACTTATTGAAAAATTTGTATTTGATATTTCATATTAAATTACAATAGATGATATTTTGATTTAGATTCAATAATATATTAGAATTTCATATCTATACAACTTTTTATTTATTACAAATTGGTATATATGAGACTGTGGAAAATTACAAATTATGATCAATTTTTATCAAGTCTTTGATTGTTGACTTCTGAGTTTCGAAGAAAAAATATCAGAAAATGGAAATTGAATAAGAAATGTTACTTCTAGGCATCAAATTAATATTTTAACTGGTACAATGACAGTAATTTTTCGTTTTACTCCAATGTCGTATTTTTAAACCTATCTTCTGATTGTTCTGCAATTTTCGAAATGGTACGATTCAAAATAAGAGTTAATTACTTTAAATTTTGAAGAACTCTGTCAATTTATAGAATTTTAGTCACCATGATTGTGTTTCTCAACAAACTATTGTGTTCAAACCTCAATAGAGTTGCCAACTCCAGACGACTCGAATGGAGTACATAATTATGTCAAAAAAAAATGATCCAGCATTGGGATTATGGTTGAAAAAAACGTATTCATTAGTCAAGCAAATCCTATTATTTTATTTCATTATGCAAGATGTAGCGTGCAACATTTAATTATTTATGAGAAAATAAATTCACATTAATTCTATTTTGTCAAGAGGAAAAAAGTGAACATACTGCACTGTATGCCCTAGATATATCAAAGCTATTCTTTAGAATTTGTTAGTTATTTCATGTCTACTATTAACATGTGGTACGAACATATTAGTTTGAGTTCATTTTATTTAATTCTGACTGACAATTCATCTTACTTCATAATTTCTTATATAAAATGAGCCCAACGTATATGGAGGTTAATATTAGACTTGAAATAGCTAAAATATTCTAATAGAAGATAACTTTGACATACTATTGAAGTATGGAATTTTCGATTTTTCTCATAAATTCTTTTTAGACAACATGGTAAAAATCTTTCAGTAAAACATATACTAACTGTTCAATTCAACTGACGCCAAGTGTTTCATATAACTGTATTTTTATTTACTTTTCGCAATATTTGATCATTTTTGATTAATATTGTACGAATATATAAATTCAATTTAATGAAATTTTCAATGTAACAGCAACTATATTAATTATGAAATGTGGGGTTGATGTTCATATGACTGAGATCGCCTTCTGAAAATACATTCAGGTAAGGAATTGAATAGACGCTTGTGCTCTAATTGATCGCGATCATACAATCTGTATGTAGTGTTAGAATACTTCTTTTTCATTTTCATAATTGTTTATATATAATATTTGACAGTTCTAGACAACTTACTGACGATTATTTGTCTCAAATCATTCGTCCGATAGCATGTTGTGACATACATCTATTTTTGTCATTAGTTACTATGTATGAAGAGTGTCCAGAGCTATAGCTAGTATTAATTGTGCAGATAATTAATTGATTAACATTAACAATTACAAATAATCAAAAAAGATATAATCGACTCCCGAAATTTTAATAATGAAAGTTTAGATACATAGCAATTTTTAGAAATAAGGAAGTGTTGATTTATAATTTTGTTCATGTTATGATGATAAAGAAAGCGAAAAAAAAATATATATAGAGAGACAGAGAGGGAATACAGGCATTAATTATCGCGTTTATGTACACAACGAAAAGAACAAAACAATTAACTAGACTGTTCGCATAGGAAGACAAGCCTGGCAATAGTTTGAATAAAGATTCTTTTATTCTTTTATATGATTGCGAAGTAAACGAAGAAATTCGTCACGATTTTCTGGTGTTAATTCTAAGACTTGTTGTAAAATTTTATGTGGTGATGCAATACGTGCAAATGTTGATATATAAACATTAGTAAATAATGCCATAATTATTTGACAATCAAATCGATCCTATTGAAGCAAAAAAGAAAAACAAAACTCGAAAATTCAATTTTATAAAAAAAAAACAAATATAAATATTTACCATAAATCCTCCATGTCCTGGTATAGTTGCAGCAAAATCTTTAATACGAAAAGCTCGTTTAAAACCACTTGCAAAAAATCCTCCAAATGGTCCAATACTTGAAGCAAATAATGAAAGTATTAATGAATGTAATTGAAATGGATATAAATCAAGTGTACGTTTAAAAAATGAAAATGGTTTTGGCATTAAATATGTTGTCTTTTGAAATAATTGTAATGGTAAACATGATGTTGATAAACCCATTATTTCTTCATTATATTCTAATGGGCATACAAGTGTTTGATAATTACTTAATATTCCAGCAAATATAAAACCAAATATTAATGTTGATATACCACCACCAATAAAACCTTCCCATGTTTTTTTTGGAGATAATTTTGTTAATTGTGTTCGACCAAAGAAAAAACCAAACATATATGCCATAATATCATTACAAATAATTAATGATACAGGAAAAAGAAACCAGATCATACCTAAAATAATTTTAATATAATATTAACAATGATTCAGAAATTATTCATATAATGTTTATTAATTGAAATAAAAAAAAACAAAAAATTCACATATTGATGAACAATTAGAATAAACTGAACACGAAAGATTCAGTAAGATGATTATTTTCTTAGTTTCGATTTCATTGCAATAATCTTAGAAAGTGTTTTTAAATGAATTATGTTAAAAGGAAATTATTGGTTTTAATTCGCATTTGAAACTGTTCATTCTGTTTATTAAAGTTTCGGCCAGAAAAGAAGTATTTAAAAATGATCGTGAAATATTCTCTTTGACTAACTATTGATTCTAATACGAGTTTATATTAAATATTAAAAAATAATTCTAGAAGAAAGTATTTTTCATATTCTTCACTACGAATGGATCAGCAAACCTTCGAATTGTGATGAAAAATGCTACTTTCATATCAGTTATCAAAGAAATTTCGAATAATCTTCGCTGCAAATGATTATACTCGTAGTATATATTCATTTATCAAATATCAGAATAATTAGTACGTATAAATAAATAAAAACAACGTTTTCCGACTTATAAAACATAACCAACGACTAATAAAAAGTTAAATTAATAATTTATTGAAAGCTCGATACGAGATTTGTGAAACTTCTTGGTCTGATGCTTTATTGTTGTAAATTAGAGATGTGTGAAAACATTTTTTTTTCTTGGGTGCTATTCCTAATCTAGATAAAACTATTCTAGAAATTCCATGTATCATATCTAAAAAAAACAATTTTTCAATATATCTATTTTGCCAAGGATTATCAGTTTTTACGATCATCTCTTGAATTATCTTTTCATCAATATAATTCAACAGATAATTTGCTTAAGTCTCCACCCTACGAAAAGGTTAATTGTTATTTGAATTATTGAAATTAAGATAAATATATGAGAAGATAGACACAAGGTTTGATCATTCATACACGACATGACCTTTGATTTGACATCTCATTCTTTCAAAAGTTTTTGATGATTTATTTCATCAATTACTTGAATATTATGCTTTTTTTTCCGGAAAATAGTAAATCTCTTTGTTAAAAGCCTTGGAAGAATTCCACTATAGTGAATTCGTTTTATTTATTTGTCGAAAACAATATGTGATTCTGTTGTGCCTGATCGAGGCATATTTTTTAAATAATGGTTTTTGTTATTATTGAATAAAAGAGTGTTTCTATAATTAGAGCTTTTGACATGCTCTTTTTATTTTAAAATAATTATACTTATAAACTGAAGACCCATAGAGAATTTTGAATTGATCAATGAGCTATTTTAGAGGCCAAATATCACAGTATGGTCGTGAAGTGACACACATATCCAACACCTAACTATCATTCGCAACAACTCGGGTTGAAATAATGTGCACGTAAAGGCTCCAAGTACATTTTTCACTATTTCCTCGCAATTGAAAAAATCTTGCTTTTAGCGAGTAAAATATGGTGCATACACGGACTCTTACTAGCTTAACTCTAATATTCAGTTTCAATTAGAAGAACTTTTCTTTTTTTCTGTTCTCAGCTTATCTTTACTCAAAAATAGATAATATTTATAAGTCTAAAAGAACATAACAGATATATTATCAGGTTAATCAGTTTTTTATCTCGAAACACAATATGTTGACTTTTATTTTTATAAAAGAAATTTTTGAATATAGATTCATAATCAACATAATAATTTTCTTATTAAAAATTAAACATCTATAAAAAAAAACTCATATGACTCAGTATGATTCATAAACTTTGCCACGTTGAATTGATATATAAAAATGTTGAATCATTTTTGTTAAAAATAACTCACCAGAACTGACTTAATACAAATATTTACATTATCCTAGAACTAAAGTTAAAATTTCAAATAAAATCTTCTAAATTATTTTCATAACAGAAATAGATATATAATTACAACAAAATAATCTCTTTTGCTAACTTTCGTTTTTTTTTCAAAATATTTTCTCCTTATGGATTTTTTTTCGTTGTAATTTAAATATACCTTCACAAATATTTTGTATCATTTGATGACTTGTTGTAACAAGTATCATTAATGTTATATGTGTATAACCAAATAATGTAAATTGTTTAAGATAATAAGTTTTTTTTAAACTTAATACAAAACCAACAAAACCACTTGTATATAAAAGAAATGCAATCATACGATGATATGTAACAAGTGGTTGAAGAAAATTATTTTTATTCATTAAAAATCCAAAATGATGTATTAAACTTTCACCATAAAGCCAATAATTTGATGTAAATAAAAAATACCATGATAATGTACGAAACCATGGTAAATTATGTGATTTATAAACAACATAACCAATATTAATAATTTCTTGAAAACATTTTATTTGTATAAGAAGTATAACTAATGAAACAATAAGTGGTCCCATATCAATTAATTTAGCAAAACCAATAAGCATTATAAATGAAAATATACCACGTATTATCCAATTACGCCAACGTGGATTAAAACCACTTAATAATTGATCAGAATATTGCATAAAATCTTGAACTGATGATGGTTGAGCAATTATACTTGCACCACTTGGTTGAGATGGTAATGGTTCCATTTCATCATCTTCAGTTGTTGGTGCAGCACCAATATTATTTTCTTCTTTTATTAATTGTGTTACTTTCTTATTTAATTCACGTTCAATATTACGTTGATGAAGATTAGTTGTGTCCGAAGTTAATACGGAAGACATTGTATTTGTCAATGTACAAGAAAACCAAAAAAATTTTATCACAAATGTAGTATAAAAGATTTATCTGAGAAAATCAATTCACAACAAAAACAAAAATAAGAAAGAACACTTTTCTAACTGTCAAGTTAATTGAAAACGGTTAAAATGACAAAAAAAAAGAAAAAACAACAACAAGTTATGTATGTATGTATATCTTCAGGTGTATACTAAAGAAACCAATAAAATAAGTAATAATTTATTCAACAGATGGCAATAGAAAACGGATCTTTACCTAAGTATTGAAAATGAAATTTTTTCTTTGAAATCATAATTATTATGATGATTTATGCAGTGCAAATAATAAAAATACAATGGAGGTAGATACTATCAAGTGCTTCACAGAGTAGGACTACATATTGTCAATGGAAACAGATCTCAGTGCGATTAGAGAATGTCTGAAATGCATCATGTTTATAAGCTTCCTTTTCAAACATATACTTATTTCATCAAGATTCTAGTCTATAGTGAGGTATTTGGTTGAATAATTGAACTAGGAAATGTTGATTACAGATAGATTTCACGGTTTTTAGCACAATGTCTTGAGTCAAAATCAAAGACTATGAGTTTCCTTTATGAAAATTTATATCGGTTTTTCAAAGGAACACCTTCTATTTCGACTAGCTTTTCGTTAACATTTATTTAGAAAATGAAGCCTTTTGGTAGTCAAACAGGTTTTTTACTGGAAAAAAAATAAAGCTTTTGGCAAATCCATAGACCTTCTATTATGTCTTGTAAGGTCTTTCATATGAGTAGTCTTCTAGTATAGGATGATCCGTTACTCCGAAGTAGTTCAATGTATTTTAGCTATAATGAAAACCGAAGAATTGTAATATCTATTCATAAACAAAGTTCTGAGTACATTATCATAATTCAATATTGCTTAGTTAATTAAACAGTGTCCTGATTTAGTATCCACTATTTTCGTAGTGAAAAAGATAAAATTACTTGTCATCTATGTGTTTCTACTATGAAAATCATTATTAATCAAAAAAAAAAATTTCTTTCAGACAATTGCTTTTGAAAAATACAAAAGGCTATAAAACTTACATAATGTAACACTGCAAACGGATAGAAAGTTTCAAAAGATTTTTCACACTGTTTCGAACGTTACTCTAAAAGAAACTCTTATTACAATCACTTGTATCCGATGGCTAACACATTTCTCAGGTAGCCTTAATACGAACTTCGTAAGAATCAAATGATGATTGTTTTTTATTTTTGCGTATAGTAACACATCAGAATGCTTTTGTAACCACTCAGGCTCTTATTTCGATTAATCCTGAAACTAAAACCATAATTCAAGAATTGAATCATTATTCTTGTTTATAAGATATTCGACAGACATAAGCTTTCTTTTACGAATATTTAATCAACTGAAATGTTTATTTCTTTTCTTAGTTTTGTATTTATCAGTTGCATTCATGAATACATTATAAATATTTATCAATGCTTATGTACATGCTATGAATAAATTTTGACAAAATAGAACATTGCCGTTGATATTTCTAATGAGATTCGGTGTATCTATGAAACTTCAAATAGAAAATTTTGTTTTCATCTCGATCATAATCATAACAATCAATACAAATAAAATTAGAATATTTATATATATATTTGTGTAATAATAATTATCTGTCTTTATATATATTTGTTTTTAATATAAGGTAGAAGGATGAAACAAACACAAAATATATTTTTTTTTTGTCATAAACCAATATACAAAAATATAACAAGACAAGAACATTTAATGTAAATTTCGCTGAAAATGCGAAAAACGGCATATATGTATATATATATATATATAGTTAGGAACATAATTGGACTATATCAAATAAGAATAAACACGAAACAAAAGAAGAAGAAAAAAAAGAATAGAAATGAAAATGAGAAATTTTTATTAATTATCGTCTTTAATCATCAAATTTTCTAATAATTGACGAAAATAATTATCAACAACATTAGCACATTGAGAAAATGTTGAATTAATTGAATTAAATTGTCGACAATTGTTAAAGATTTTATTAACATCTCGTATATAATCACATACAGTTTTCAATTTACTATTCATTACTTTCGTTTTTAATGTTGTTAAATCTAAAAAAACAAAAATTATCAAAAAAAATGAAAAACCAGACGATGGTTGTTAAACGATAAAAGAAAAAGCGGCTTCCTCTCAAAATTGAGTTCATCATCTCCAAAAGACTCAAGTGTAATGATGATCGTCATGTTTCAATGAAAAATTTGCCTCTCGTAAGTATGAGAACAACTATAGCTGAAGTCTTCTACTATTGAATTGTGCAAGCAGTGATACATTTTGAATAATATACTATTCGATAGGCTTCTCAAAGCTCTACAAAATGGTAATATTCTGTTAAGGTGAATTTGTAGGCACGATACTTCGATCAAACGTACAATATTTATGAATGTTGTCAAGTGTCTTGATCAGATATTGAATTCAATGCAATAGGATTATTTTGTAGAGTTTTGAAAAATCTATCGAATGATATATTATTCAAAGTGTATCACTGCTTTCACAGCTCAATAGTGGGAAATTTTAGTCATAGTTATTACAATCATGTACATGATTCGGTAGAGAAAAAAAAAAGAGCTTTAATTAAATATATAGCTCAAAGTAAATCAATTGAGGGAACGACAGGAAAATTTTTCAAGAAAAAACTTGCATAGTATGAACTCAATAAACCATAAGAATAGGACCAAAATATTCAAAATCTTTAACTATTGCTGAGCAATAGTTGATGTTTTTGGATTATGTTGATCCTAATACTATCATTTATTGAGTAAATTTAGATATTTGTTTTATCAAAACGATCAACACAAAGAGTTCTGTCGAAATTCGAACGGGGCATTGTCTAGACTGTTTTATGAAATAATAAACTCAATTTCAAAAGAACACCGATTTTTAAGATCTCCTATTTTTTTTTCTCATCTTACCCATAGGATCTTTTATAATTGTATAATAATTAGGTACATCTTTAATATCTACGGGTTTTTGAAATGGCCAAGCCATTTTATGTGCCTAGAAATCGAACAAAAAAAGAAATATATTAATTTTTTTTCAAATATTAAATTATATTTACTAATAATTGATCAGTAAGATTTAATAAATCTTTTTGCATTTCATTATTTATTGATTTATTAAGAAATTCTTGTTTTTTCTTTGTTGAACATCTTGGACAAACATAAACTTCAAATTTATCGGCATCTTCTGGTGTTATATTAACACAAGAACCATGTAACCAATCAGCACAAACATCACAACCAATATAAAATCTAATTAAAATAAAAAACAAATCTTCTTAAAAAAGATTTTTTTTTGTTTTGTTTTATTACTTTGATTCATCATATGGTGTTTGACAAATACAATATAAACGTTCTTTAGCTTTTTGTGTTAAATATGTACAATCTTGACATATAAATTCTTTTAATTTTTCAGCAAGACGTGGTGTTAAACCAACACATGTACCATGTAACCATCGTGAACATAATTCACATTGTATAAAAAATTTTTCTGGTAAATTCGTTTGTTGACAACTACAATTAATATCTGAGAGATTAATTTCAGTTTTTTCTTTTTTATTCGATGAATTTTTTATTGTTATAATTTTTTTTGATTTTTCAGTAGATTTCATTTTAACTATTGTTGTTGATGATGATGGTGATGAAATGGATGAACAAGATTTAGAATTTTTAAGATGATTTTCATCATTATTAAATGATTCTTTTTTTTCAGTTGATACATTTAGATGTGAACGACGAGCTTTTTTTGATACAGGTTGTTGATCATTATCGGAAGTTTTCGTTGATGGAAGTGGACGTGTTCGTTTAGTTGATGTTCTAAATAAGATAAATATTATATTAAAAGTTGATATGTATTATGTTTAGTCTTAAATATCTATTAACTATTATGTTATTTTAACTTTAGTAAGTCTAGTAGAAAGTCTAATTGATCATTTGATCAATAGCTGATGAGAAATTTCAAAAAAAACATTTGTAAGAACTAATTATTCGCTTCTATTGTATTTATTTTGTTTACTTTTTAATTTTTTGTTCAGATAATTTTGATGTTTCTTTTCGTTTATTTTTATTTTCATTTCCAGTACTTTTTCTCTGTTTTTTAATTGTAGGTGTTGTTAGAATATCAATAGTTTTTTCTTTATTATCATCTAAATTTGATTCTATTTGTTTAACAACTGTTGTTTGTTGTTGTTGTTGTTGCTGTTGTTTAAGTATCATTTGTTGTTGTTTAAGACGTTGTGTTTGCACTTGTTCTTTAACTAATGCTGTTTTTCGATTGAGACGATAAGAAATAAAATCTTTTCGAAGACTATCAACACGTTCATTTAATAAACGTGTTAAATTTATTTGACGATGATTAGATATTGATACTATTGTATTTGTATTTTTAAGACGTTTTTTCATAGATTCTTGATTTTGTTCACGTTCAATTTTAGTAATTATTGAACGAAGAACAGCTTCACATATTTTCATTCTAAACAAAATCAAAAAATGTATGTGATTACAAATGTGAAACATGATGAAATTATTTTTGATCATCGTAGAAAAATTGTTTTATCCTATTAATTTTAGGATACAATTTATTCTTTCATCAATGAATAGTTTACTAGACATGAAAGTTTTCTTTTATAAGAAGATTAATAAACTATGTATTGATTCTACTTATGAGATTCGTCTCAATACTATATAAATATTATGTAAGATAGACATTCTATGAAAGTTTTGTTCATTGGGAAGTTGTGAGAAAATTCTACAACCTCATTATAATAAATATCTATTTTCATAAAAGTGCTTAATGTTAAATAAGAATCAATTGATATATATATAATCATACCGAATGCCTTCTTCAAGATCAATTTTTATTTTTTTATCATCAACTATTGATGGTATTGGTATTGTTTTACGAAGATTTTTAGTTTTTTGTATAACAATAGGTGTTGATTCAAATTTAGGTTTTATTGTTGAACCATTTGTATCAATTGTAATTGTTTCACAAATAGTTGTTAATGGAGTATCTTCATTTGTTGTTGGTTGTTCAATATGTACATTTGTCTCTAATTGTTGTTGTTGTTGTTGTTGTTGTTGAGCAAGAAGACAATGTAATAATTCATTTGATGTTTGAATTGTTGTTATAGGAGCTGGTGCTATTGGACGTAAACGACGTTCTTGTGGACTAATTGAAATTGTTTGTGTTTGAGATTTTGGTGGTGATGATGATGATGCTTTAATTATTTTTGAAATTCCATTATCATTTTGTTGAATTGTTGGAACAAGAATAATTTGTCCATCAGCTAATTTAACAACTGAAAATGATTTTTGTTGTATTGGAAGATTTGTTGATGATGATTCACTAGTTGTTTTAACAATAACAACTTTTCCACTTTCAGTATTTAATGTTGATTTTGGTTGTAAATGTGGTATACGAACAATAAATGGTCTAGCTGGTTGTTGTTGTTGAATTGTATTATTATTATTTATAATTGTTGTTTTCTTTTTTTGATGTTTTTTTCTATCATCATTTGTTTTTTTATGTAAACGTTTAAAATTTTTTTCTTGTAAACATTGATAATAATATTTTATTTGATTTGGTTGAAGTTGTCTTTCAGGTAACCATTGTTCAGTTAATATTAAACGATTTGATGTTAATATTGATGATGGATGTGGTACAGCACGACTACGTGATTTTGATATAGGAATATTAAAATTTGATGTTTCATTTGTTTGTGGATGAATTGTTTTACGTACAAAATATTCACAATAAGAATTATATGGACCTGAATCACGTTTAGCTAAAACTTGTATTGTTGTTGTTATACCATCATTATCAATATGTGTTGTTATTGATGATTCATCAATATTGGAAAGTTTTTCAGTTAGAAGATCCCATCTAGAATAAATTTAAAGTAAACATAAAAAAATTCTTTAAAAATAATTAAAATTTTAAAATAATAAATGAATATGGTAATATCTAAGATATACGAACCATTTAGGAAGAGAAGAAGTGTATGAAAATAGAAAACAAAAATTTCAAAACTAATTAGTCGAATATAGTTTTATTGCAAAGAAATTCTAGAAAATATATATCGATTTTTGATCTAAGAGAGTAATCTATGTAGGTTTTAGATGTGTCTGAATAACCTATTAGAAAGCTGCACAGGTCCAAGTTGTTTCAGATCCGAACTCGCAGCTCTCTATAACGATTCAGTTATGAGATCAACTTTTATGAGTAGAATATATTGTGAAACGTCATATCATAAAGTCCAGCTGGGTCTGAGCTAATGAATGCATTGGATCAACTATTGGCCATTTCAAAAAAAGGCGAGTGGATATTTTTTTGAATAACTTTTGATAGAAGCAAGGTAGAGAACTACGCTATTCATCGTTGGAAAGAGAAGATGAAAACACATTCAATAGTATATTATAGCCTTTTCTAAGATGTTTTTGTAAAGTTTTCTTAGTTAATTTTCTCAAAAACAAAAAATGCCGAAAAATTGATTTCTTTTAAAATAAGAAAAACACAAAAAAAGTGATTTTTTTTTCTCACAAACATTAATAAGAACAATCGACTTTTTTCTTCAAAGATATCGATTTAAGTCGTTGAAAAAAAACTAGATCAAATTATTCTGTAATATACAATTCGATGTATCTTCATCTTCTCTTTCCAACAGTGAGCACATAATATAAAAGTAAAATTATCTGAAATTTCGAATAATGATCGAAGTGTTAGAAAATATTATAGAGTTATTTCGTCATGCACAAATTTTATTTATAATAAAAGTTAGTTTCGTTATATTTTTACATTTTAACACTATTGAAATACTTTTATTTGAAATGTAAAACATAATATAATGATTCTTGCTAATTACAAAAAGATTAGTACTATCATAATTTTCATATATTTTATCATAAAAGGCAACTTTTTCTTTTTTTTTTGTAAGTAGATATTATAATTATCAACTAACCTTATACAATTCCATAAATATTTGATATGATGTGCAATTGCAAATAAAGAAGTACTTGTTTGTACTTTATAACACCATGCTGTTCGAACTGATGGTCTACCACATGGATATGGCCAACCAAATCTTGTACCAATACCACTTAAACGTGAATTAATAAAACCTGGTATATCAGTTAATGATATTGATGCTCGTGCAAGACGTCGAAGTAAATAAGATGGAAGAATAAATATATTTGGTAATATTTGTTTATTAAATGTAAATGTCCATGGTATTGGTAATTGATTTGTATTAATTGAAAATTTTTTTTCATTTATTAATGTTGTTGCAGCTGTTAAATGAAATGATCGACGTGTATCATCTAATATAATTGGATATCGATAAGATATACCATTATAATCAATTTTTTTATAATTAATAAATGTTAAATCATCAATTAAATCATCATTATCATCTTTAGCTGTTAATAATAAATTTTTTAATTCATTATCAATATTAATATCATTTCCTAAATCATTTTTAAGTTTATTTTCAATTAAATTAATTATACGATTACGTTCATTTAATATAGCATTAGACATATTTTCACGACGTATTAATAATGTATTAATATCAAATGTTTTTTTATTATTATTATTTATTATTATTTTACGACGTGTAGAACGTATAAATGTCCATCCTTGACCACCAGCTAAACGATATTCTTCACCACGTTGTTTATGTACACTATGTTTTAATGGTCGTGTAAAATGTACATTTTGTATAATTGAATCAGCATCAATTTTTCGTCTTATAAATGCATCTTTTTCTTCTTTTTTAGCTTCATCACGTTCTTTTTCTGTTTCACGACGAAATTTTAAATAACCAACTTGATCTGTAAATAAATCAAAATATGAAACTGTTTTAATACAAGTTTCAAATTGTAATAAAAGATAAATTAATTTTGATAATGTTAAATTTTCATTAAAATCAAGTAATTGTTTAGCCCATTTATATCGATAAACTTTCCAATATGAATGCATAAATGGTAATGGTATTGTATTTTCAAAATAGACTAATGTTATACGTATAATATCAGATAGATTTTTTAATGTATAATTTGATGTTATTGATAATGATGGAGAATACCATGAAAATGATGGTGAATGATTTATACTAAATTTACGTGCTAAATGTGCACGTCGATCACGTTCATTTAATAACATTTGTTTTCTTGTTGCAAGTGGATTTGTTTGATAATAATTTTCATAATGAAGATGACCTTCGGATGGAAGAATATCGTCTAAAGAAATATGTAAATAAAATTTCTTAATATTGAGAGTATTTTATTGCATAAAAATAATATACTGTCGAACAAAAAATAAACATCATATTTTATATTCATACAAAAATTTTTCTAGATGCAACATTTTTATTCGGATGATCGTTATTGACTAGAGATACTAACCAATGTTTCAATAAAAACCCTTCAAAGGATTTGACTTCTTATTAAGATTTAACGAAGGTAACGAATATTTAATATATGTATTATTTAGACACCTTAGTAGGGGAGAATCTGGAAGCCACTCGACAAGTTCTAGATACTTCCGATATGAGGCAAATTATCGTTGAGCAGGTTCTCTATTCATTTTTGAACGCATAATGCATAGTGACATTAATTCAAACGGTATACCTTCTATATGTAGGCATCATTGCTACATCGAGCCGTCAACCACAAAAGCGAAAAAAAACAGTGTTTTAACAAATAAATACAAAATTTTACTGCAAATTCACATATAGACGATAAAAATCAGGTCAAATCTACGGAGTATTCACTGTCTCTTTGAATTCTCCTTCTAATTCTATTTTGTCTATTCTTGTATTCGTGCGTAACTATCTGGTTTTTGTTGGTTGGACTCGATATATTAAAGTTAATGAAATGTTTTCGACTATTTACATTTAGTATTGACAATCTTTCAACTCTTCAGAAAATTGATGCTTAGTTTTCTTATAGCGAAACTTCTTCTCTCAGATATGCTTAATATTAAGGATGCACGGTTCCAGATAACCGGAACCAGTTGACACTATGCACAGAGAAATCGAAAAACCCAGGTCGATGATTTCTGAAGCAGTATTCCGTGAATTTCCGGCGAGAAACTGCAGAAAAGACACCATTTTCGGCCGAAATCCGCCTGAAAATGCCAGGAATTCGATGTAGGAAACCGGTGATCATATCCGACTGCCAGTTTGCCAGGCTCTGGACGGAACTGAAAAAACCTAGTCATCGGATTCCTGATTTCAAATCCCTAGCATTTTCGGCGTTTTTCTGCAGGAATCGATCCGTACTTCTCGACTTGCGAAGTGAAAAGTCTAATAATGATCGGTTCTGAAACCGGAACCGGTGCAACCCTACTTAATATAAAAATACTTTCTACAAGCTTTTATATATTAGACATTTGAATACAAGCAGTTATAGAATAAAATCCAAAAATAGAACCTTTCATAATAGCATAATTCTTAGCCAGGTTAAACGAGTCCCTAACGGCGTTTCACATCGTATCTGTGAAAGTTTTAAGTTGTCTGAATAATCTCTGGAATCAAATTTATAAAAAAAGTCAATGCGGATAAATGTCTTGTATTTAGTCACACCCACACATTCAACAAAAGACGATGAATACAGAACATGTTTGCAACAAGGCCAAGTTCGAGTACAATCTATCGCATAGGAAAGAGAAGAGCACGAATGAATGTTTTGTCTGTATCCACACGGACTCAATAGTGATACTTCAAAACAGTTCTTTTTGCTATATATTGCATTTTACGTATTCAAAAACTTATACAAGTCATTGAACTATTCCGATTTCTAGAAACAAAACCGATATCCAATAAAATATTTTTTTATAGGATTTTTATATATGAATATCTATCGTGTAATTGTTAATAAAAAAAAATGACTAAGAACAATACCTTTATTACTATTAATATTTTTATTTCGTGGTACAAGATCAAGATCAATTTTAACATGATTTGGTTGCATACTCTTAATAACTGATAACATTGTTTGACTATATGTAAAATCATCAAGCTCTTCATCATCCATATTTTCACTGTTAATTTTTGTTTTCTGACTAAGTATATCATCCGATTCATCTGTTTCAAAACCATCTATACTAAAATCTGAATCATTACTTAATTCTTCATTAGTTTTTAATAATCCATTAGCTAAATTTGTTGCTAATAATTGACTTTGTGCAAATGCAGCAAAATTAGTTAATGGAAGATTTGTTGTAGCTAATGAATCATTTGATGATGATGAACCATCACGTGTTTTTGTTACTAGAGTTGATGTATTACCAAAACCAAGACCTAAAAAAAACAAAAATAAATGTTCAATTGATTTTAATAATTGTTTTTCTTTTTCTAATACCAAGTTGTGTTAAATCAAATTCTTCATCATCATCTGAACCAGTTTCTTTATCTTTAGCTCCACTATCATCTGAATTATCTGAACCAAAATCAGTTTCTGAATCTCGTCGTGGTTTTCTTGATATTCTTCCACTACGTAAAACTTTTCCTGGTCGTTTTGGTTTTTCTTCTGTTGTTGTTACTGTTACTGATTTAACTTTAACTGGTTTACGCTTATTTCTAACCGGTTGTTGTTGTTGTTGTTGTTCATTTAATTTAGGTGATTCTAATTTTGGTTGAATTAAACGTTGATGTGATTGAAATGAACCTGTTGTTAAATGATTAACACCACGTGGTGGCTGACCATAATGAGAACCACGTCCAGCTCGACCACCATATAATGGTGGTCGACCTCGACCACGAGGACGTCCACGAGTTGTACCTCGATAAACTCGATTACTTTCTATGAACATTTAAAAAAAAAACAACACAAGTTATTAATGCAATTCCTATAAGATTAAACTGTGAAACACGATGCAGTTGGCTTTTGCTAATCATAGGAAAATTATTTTAGGACATGTCAACGTTTTACTTAATCCTCTAGAAATAGAATAACGAAGTCATTTGTATATTAGAACGAGACGTTATTGATATACAATAAAATCTCTCTATACGAAATATCATTCGGATCATCCAAAAAAGTGTTCATTATATAGAAGTTTTTCATTGATACTATCAAAGCAAAAAAAACTATTGCATACATTTATTCAATTTTTACTAAAAAAAAAAACATCGATCGTTGTCTGCTTGATTTCTTTTGGATCGATGAGCTGTGAATTAAGTTACGCAATAAGAAAACACAGTTGTAATTGTTAATAGACAACTAGTAGGTGCAATCATCTCACAGTCTTCATTGCCTCAATAAACTTGAGTAGTGTTTCAGTCGGTGAACTCTCGTAATCTCACATTCGTGAAAATATAAAAGGGCGTTGTTCTTTTCTTATGCAATCAATTAACTTGTTGTAGACTATTCATTATTCCTTTTGTTTCATACATGCGACGAATAGGCCGCTGATTAATAGGCGTAGCATAATTTCAGCATGTACGTGCGGCGTTCTCTTTTTATGTACATAGGCGCATACTTTGTTGCAGGTGTGTTCACTGTACAGAGGTCTGTTTACAACGAAAATCGATCGGTAGAATCGAGACATGCATTCAAATAGGAGGTGTTCACTGAACGATCAAAGATTGTATATCAACAATATCAGTTCTAGAGAGAAAGAACGTTGTAAAGACCTTTGTCTAGCGTTTATTATAGTTTGTAAGGGCATAGGTTCAAATTTTTTTTTCTCTCTATACTTCAATTAGGGATTTGTAGACGTAAACTCGTAGTTTTCTAATTTCAATAGTTCGTGTTTCACAAAATTTAATCTTTAAATAGTAAGATTTTTTTAAATTTATACCATATTTTCTAAATGGCATATCAAATTCATCAATATTTTCTTCTTGTTGAAAAAAATCATCACCAAAATCATCATATTCATTATCAAGTAACATTCCATCTTCATCTTCATAATTATTACCCGTATAATAATCACGATAATAATTACTACGTGGATAAGATGTATTATGTGTTGAATATGTACGATTTGTATTTGTTGAATATGTATTATTACGATTATGAGAAGGAAATCTATTCATTGTTTGATACTGTTCATAACGTTGCCAAATTGTTTCATTAATATCATTTTCATTTAAACGTTTAAGTGCAACTTTTGTTTCATTATATATATCTCAAAAAAATAATAAAATTAATGTAAGAAATTGAATAAAATCAATCATACTATGTATACGTCGTAAACGTTCTTCTAATAAAGATCTATTTGATGAATTAAATCGTGAAACGGAGATTAAATCTAAGACAAAACAAAAATTATATTTTAATATAAACAAAAAATTATTACCATTCGATACTGGTAAGTCGTTTGTATAGTAATTTTGTCCATTGATTTTCTACAAAAATAGAAATATTATATTCAAGAACAAATTTTATTTAGCCATAATTTTAATAGACAATTGTATACAGATAAAAAAAAATTCTATAATTTTTTTTTTTCGTTTGACAATTAGAAAAAACTTACTGATGAATAATCATAATTATTAGTTGAATGAACAAAATATTCTCGTTTTTTAACTAATGATTTTGTATCTTTTTCATCATTATCAACAATACCATCTATCTGACTATGCATTAAACAAATATTTTTGTTTGATTTTATTTTTAATTTAATCATATTAATAAGATGTTCATAATCAATTTTTTTTGTTATGATTTCATCGAAATGATATGGTATTAAACCATCTGTAAACATTGATAATGATTTTTGATCATCATTATCATCATCTAATGTTGGTACATAATCAATTGTTGTTGACATTAGATTTGTCATTGATGGTGATTGATCCAATGGTATAGATACTAAATATTTAAAAGTAAGAAAAAAACACAAAAACAAAGCTTTTTAATTCTAAACTTACTTGTTTGAAGTTCAGCTGTTATTTGCATACAACGTGCTATATCATTATATCGTTTTTGTAAACGATAAACTAATAATTTTTCTGGTCCTGTATCATCAAGATATGATAATAGAGTATCAAATTGATCAAGTGTAGAATAATATCGTACATCTTTACCGGTTTCATCCTCTCTGTAAGCAAAAAAAAACAAACATTTGATTATATAACAAAAAAAAAAAGAACAAAGTTTAAATAACTAACACAAATAGTCGACGACAAACAAACCAATATCTTCGTTGTTCTCGATCATGACCAATACATCGATGACGTAAATAAAATGGTCGATTTTCTCGTAGAGGAATACAATCTGTTACACCATGTACTTGATTTTGTATACATACAGGACAAAACCATTCAACAGTTGGTACACTTATTAATGGTGGATTAAGACAAGCTAGATGATATGTTGCTTCACAACGATCACAACAGAGTAAATCACCACGTCTAAAAGTATTCATCAATATGTTATATGAAATAGAGAATTCAATAAAAAATTAAACAAAAAAAAAATATTCGAAAACAAAAATCAATCAAAAACTTTCAACTAGAATATTTATATCTGAAGATTGTATAGAACTTTAGAGTTTTTATTGATGATTCGGAATTTGTAAGAAATTTTTGTTGTAAAGAAGATTATGCTGAGCGTTTGGTGGGGAATACGAGGGATTATTCATTGGGAACTTCTTCCAACTAATTGCACTATCACTGCTGATCTCTATTGCCAGCAATTAGACCGGGTTGCGGCAAAACTTGAGGAGAAGCAGGATAGAATTTATTTTTTGCATGACAATTGCCAGACCCCATATTGCAAAATCCAAGCGTGAAAAATTATTGGAGCTCGAATGGGTTACGGTTCCACATCCATCTTATTCTCCAGACTTGGCTCCTACGGACTACCATTTGAAGGAGAAAAAATGCGACGACGAAAACGGGCCTCCTCAACTTCTTTGGCCAAAAGTCGCAGGACTTCTACGAACGCGGGATCCTTTCTCTACCAGAGCGTTGGCAACAAGTCATAGATAGTAATGGAGCATACATTGTTGAAAGCTAGTTGTATTCTTGATATTAAAAAATAAAAAGAAAATTTCCAAAAATTTCTTACCAATTCAATAGAAGAGTCATTGAATATTTTTCTAATACCTTTCGATAGAACATTGATACGAACCTACCTTTTTTCGCTATTAGAAAAAGAAGATGAAGACACATCGAATCATATATTACAGATTCGACTATCAAATATTTTCTATTGAATTTTTGCAAAAAAAATATATACTCCTAATGCATCTTCATCTCCTCTTTCTAACCGTCAAAAAAAAATGGCAGATCCGTATCTGCTATCTATCAAAAATTATTCTATTTTGAAATGGATAATAGTTACATGCTTGTCTATAAAAAAAACTCTTGTTATTCAATTCTTTTATACAGGCCATACTAATGGATTAAACTTTTTATCTTTTTTGAAGTTTATCACATGTACAGAGTTTGAATTTCAAAAGAAAATTTAAGATTTCTTCATCGGATTTAGAAGAGTATGCGAGTCCGTCAGAAAAAAAAATCGTTCTAACCATCACTATAGATAAAAGTTTTATAGTTTTAGACGAATGATAAAAGACATGAACCTAAAAATTGCTATTCTCTAGATCAAGACTAGAACTCAAAAAAGATTTAATCATATAGATTTCTACTCAGATAGAAGAATCTTTTTATTTTGATAACGAAAATAAATGTAAAGATAGATTATATACGAGATTTTTACTGTTTATAACAATAAAATAGACTTTTTCTTTTTTTTTATACTCTTATATTTGTATGGATATAACTTAATATCTTAAAATAATTGCTACGATAATTTACTTTTGACATTGTCTACAATTATCATCATGTTGTTTAGGTTTTGTATCATCAAATTCTCTTCGTATAGTTTTTGTTGTTAATGCAACATCACATAAAGCTGATAGTATATCAATTTTTTCTTGAATATTTGTATTAAATGGATAATCTTTAACAATTGATGTATATATTTTTAATTGTGGATGTGATGTAACATATAATTGTAATATATATGGCCATGTTATATAATCCATAGTAACAAATGATAAATCAATAATACCTTTAATATCTGTTTCAGATGCATATGTTATACTATCATCATCATCTTGTTTAATTAATAAACGTAATAAACATATATGTATTTGTGAAAATAATATATTATTTATATTAATTGATTGAATAATTGATATACAAAAATGTTCAAATAGAAATGGTGTAAGACGTAATATTGATGAAAAATGACGTAAAAATTCATAAATTGTTGCTAAATGTAATGCTTGTTGTGGTGTTACATATAGATCATTTGAACTTATTGGTAAATTAAATATTTCATTATTAATATCATTATGATAATAATCAATTGATGAACTACATTGATCTTCTTCAAGTTCATTTTCATTAGGAGGATTTGTCCAAGATGATGATGGAAATGAATCTTCATCATAATGTTGAGATATTGGAGGATGTACACGACGTTTTGATGTATAACATATTTCATCTTCATCTTCAAAATCAGATTCCATTGAACGTTGCATTTTCTATCGTTCTAAATTGAAAGAAAAAGAAAATATAAAACATTTTGTTATATTTCATCTACCATATTGATTCCATTGTTATACTTTTATGTGTAACCTCAATTTATAGATGAAGATTTTATATAAATAATTAAAAATATTTTTTATAAATAGAGAAAAATAGGAAAGTTTGAAAAAATGAATTTTATACTTTTTAATATAGCGACATCTATAAATTGAAGACTTTTGTTAGAATACCTATTTTGATGGATTATATCTACTTCTAATAAAATAATATGTCAAGATTTGAAATTAGTCAATAACAAATGGTAAGATATTGAACCTTGATAAAATATGGATATTTCATTGTAATGATAGGTAGTTCAAGCCACTGTTTCCAACACCAATGGTACTGATGAACAAGAAATAAAATTTAAGATTTGTCTATTGTAATTAAACTAAAGCATATGTTAGTGATATCCATTGTCTCTTTCGATTGGTACATATGTCGGTATTTTCATCGTAAATTTGCTGTATACTGGTTGTATGGGTTCAAGCTGGATGATATTTTTCATAGATAGGATTGATTTGACTCTAAAAGAAATACGAAGTGGTCTCATTTCTGATGTTTAATTTTCTGTAAATGTGTCCGATGATAAAATTAATGCATATAATTATTTGTTTATTCATTTACAAAGTATTAATTGATATCCTGCATTAGAGAGGAAGATAGGAATTTCATGCGTAATTGTTTACATTATGAAAGACTTAGTTTTATTGACGACAAGAAAATGTCAGCATACATGGCTTATGTAAGAAACTATTTCGTTTTAAATTTTCATTACGAACAGTAATATAAGCTATTGCGCATATACTTTTAAATTTAAAACTGTATTTTACAAATTATGAATCAGTTCGAATCTAGAATACTTTGTGAATTCAAACAAAATTATTAAAATATATTTGATTTTAGATTTCTATTTATAATACTAAAATAATTATATTTAATTATCGATACTAAATAATGGCAACTGACCATAAGACAGATGAATATATTAAACTCAGAGTCGTTGGACAAGATAATAGTATGAAATACGTTTTTTTTGTTCTGCTTCTATTAATTAATATTAAATTTTATTATAGGTGAAGTTCATTTTAAAGTTAAAATGACAACAAATATGGGTAAATTAAAGAAATCCTATGCTGAACGACAAGGTAAAAATTCAATTGATTTTTTTTTTTTGTCTTTAGTTTTTTTTTGTCTTTTGTTTTAAAACTAGGTGTCAGTGTAGCAACTTTACGGTACAATTTAATTAATGATTTAATTGATAATTTTAATTATTAATTTATTTAAGATTTCTTTTCGATGGTAAACGTATAAATGATGATGAAACACCAAAACAACTTGAAATGGAAGATAACGATACCATTGAAGTGTATCAAGAACAAGTAAATAAATAAATTTATTTATTTATTTTTTTTTTAATTTTTAAAAATTAATTTTAGGTTGGAGGATTTTATTGAGTCTATCAAACAAAAATATTTTTTGTTTTTTATACAATATGTAATGATTATCTTTGAGATGAAAAAAAAAAGTATGCGTTTATTTAAAAAGAAATGTTCAATTTATGTTTTCTTATTGTGGTTTAAAAATAGAACAAAAACAAAATTAGGAAAATTTCTTCTTTTTTTTTAATAATAAAAAATATTTTCATTTATGATTGATTTTATTTTTAGTAACAGTAATTGAAGTATACAGTTGCAAAAAACAAAAGAATAGATCGTATCACATGCCATATGTTCATTTTTCTGAAAATAATCTTTTCTTTAAGCAGATAGCTAGAGAAATTATCAAAAATTTTGCAAAGAAGATGGGATCAGATAAAAAATCATATCGTCTATGAAAGATCAGATCTTTGACTATCTTTTCATACATTTATGTTAATTGCAATTTTTCTCTCGAATATTAAGTTTGTTAATACGCTGATAGATACTTGCTCTTTTCAGAATTCTTCGAGAATAGCTCAACGAAAAACAATGAATCTCTCCATATGAGAACCACAAAGGTTAAAAATGGCTATAAGTTTTCTCCCTTCGCCTCACACAACTCTATACTTCATTTTTTCAAAGCTGCAATTTTTTATGAAAACCAAGATCAAACCGTGGTGCTTATTTTCTTTTCTTTCGAAAATATCACTCCTACAGCTTAGAAGAAGTCAAATACTTGAAGTAGCATCCGAAAAAAAAGTGTTCTTTTTTTCAATGGCACTGATTTTTTAAAGTTTGTTGAATTTCGTAGACACAATATTTTGAATCTGATCGAAAGTACCATGTGGAAGAAAAAGGGAAAAACTTCATTTTCTTTTTTTCTGTTAATTTCTTGGTAAGAATAGTCTTTACAAAAATGACATGTTGCATGAAAACATAGATGTACATGATGTTTAGGACAATATACATTTGTCTTTATGGAGCAACCTTCATTGAGTTTGAGGCCGATGCGCTGAATCATCAAGATGAGTCATTTTTTAAATATTTCAAGCAATTTCTTTTTTTTTTTTTTTTTTTTGGTGGGCTAAGGTTATTATCTAGTTTTGACGATAGATGATGAGTAGTTAATACTTTTTAAATTCAATATTCAATTGTTCTCAGTTCTTGCAACATTACATTTGCTATTGGGTAAATTTATGGGATTTTTACCACAATTTAGAAATCTTTTTTGTTTTTCAATCTGAATAATCTCGTTAGATAGATCATAATCGAATGTTTAAAAAGGTCTTAATAAAATTCTGAAGAATTGAAATAGATCAACAGAAAATTTCATACAGCAATTATTTTCATCTCATCATTGCTAACGATTAGATATTGAATTTCGTATTTTTGTTTTTTAAAGAAAAAGAAAATCAAAAGAAAGAAACAATTTGCTGTTATTGACAGTAAAAAAATAAAAAAAGGAAGCTCTCTTCCGATTTCACACTATAAAATCTGATTCACCAAAAAAATGAAAAACAATGGGTTTTTGCACAACGTCAGTAATTGCGCAATAAAAACAAATATCTGACGTAAGTGGAGAATATTTGTACTTTAATCAAAAAGATAAATTTCGACTAGACACATATATTTAATCAACAAAACATTGAAAGAGATTTCATTGATGACAGACAAAGTTATTCCTTCACTTTTAACATTACCGGTAGAACTTATCTATCGTATTCTTGATAATCTCGATATATTTACTATTCTATGTTCAATTTTTAATGTTTCTACACGCATTAATGAAATTGTCGATAGTTACCGTCAACATAAGGTAAAACATTTGATTTCTATTATTTTCGAAATATAATTCATTGATATTATATATCTCAGCTGAATTTTTGTTTACTTATTTATCATATCGTTTCAAATGAAATTGAAATAAAGTTGTTGTTTTTCTTCTAAAGTATTCAAAAGAAAATGTTTACAATTAATAGAAGATTGAAGAAAAATTTACAAGAATGATTTTGCAAATTACTCTTTTTGTTTTCTCAAAATTTAATATAGGATTAATAATAAAATTAAGTTTGGTAGTTGAATCTTAAATTTTCATATAATATTTCAAACATAGAATAATAATCATTTGCTTTGATATTAATGAAATAGAATTTATCTCTATAATTTAAATATAGACAACTAATACGTTACAATCTCTGGGTAATCCACTTGACCCTCAAACAATATACCATCTAGTTAATATATTACAACATGATAAAGTAAGATCAATTCTTTTGTTATCTATTTGGTATTGATGTATATCATTCAATATAGAAAATTACGAGGATAAAACTTGGAAACAGTGCTATGGGTGATACAGGGACGCAATATTTAGCTGATTTATTACAACATAACACAGTAACACTTATTTTCTAGTCATTTATCTCATATGTTTCTATATCATTGAAACCAGATGATCATCACGCTTGATATTCGATACAATAAAATTAGTCCTCAAGGAGCACAATATTTAGCGAATGCATTGCCGTATAATACAGTAGGATTAGTCATCAATATGTTTATTTTAATTTTATGTGTCATATTCAACATAGACACTTCGAACGCTCTATCTTGGCTACAATGCAATTAGTGATGAAGGAACACAATATCTAGCAAATGTATTACATCACAATACAGTAAGATCAGTTTTATTTTACTCAACTATCTTTTATGAATCTATGCCGTTTTATACAGTCACTCACTACATTAAACCTTTGGGGAAACGGAATCAGCAGTATCGGAGCACGACATCTAGCAAATGCATTACAGCATAATAAAGTATGATTGATTTTCTAGTGATTTATCTCATGCATATCTTGATCATTTAATATAGACACTTCTCAATCTTGATCTTGAATACAATAAAATCGATGGTAACGGAGCACGATATCTGGAACGAGCATTGCAGTACAATACAGTATGATTAATTCTCAATTCATTTATTTCATTGATATCCTATCATTTAAAACAGACACTCAAAATGTTGAAGCTTGAACATAATTCAATTGATTTTCAAAGAAGAAGCTATTTTGAAATAGAAATGAAAAAAATTCCATTGAGAGTGTGGCTTTGATCAAGAATTGATGAAAGTTGTTTATGATAAAATTGTATATTATTCATCGAATATTTTCATTTACATTTTAATGTTGTTTAACAATCTAGAAAATTTATAATATAATTTTTTATTATTTAATAAGTAAAAATATTAATATATGATGAGTTATCTTCTTTATGTAAATTTATATAAATGGATGTTTTTAATTACCAAATATCCGAAAATCTTTGAAACATAATTTGTCACTGAGATGTTTTCACAAGAACACAAAAATCATATACACTTCATTCACTTTTTATCATAATCGTCAAGAAATTCTCATCATTTGTTTCAGTAAATTTTAAGAGAACGAAAACAAATGATGTATGAAATATTGTAATTCCTCAGTCATTCGAATGCAACTTTACACACTAAAAGTTCGCAATAATCTCTTATATATTATTAACATGCATTGATGTGTGTGGATTAACTTCCAGATAGACGTCATTCATATGTGTTCTTGACAAGATCAAATTTTCTCTTTACAAACGTACGAGTGTTCTTTTCATTACATTTAAAATTTGTATCTCATGTTAATGAAAATTATGACATAGTCACACAACGTCCACATCACGAAAGTTCTTTGTGTAGTTACTCTTATTGTGATACACCAAATGGACGGTTTTTTTCGGACAGAAATTATGAAGGAGATTTAGTGGCAGAGTGTTTTCTTCTTCGAGGATAGCTGTCTTTTTTCCTCCATTCATATACACCAAACGCATATTACTGTAGAAAGAAGTTAAACTGAGATGTTTTGAAGTAACAGTATTTTTTTTAGATGTCAAGTGATTTTTTAAAGAAATTCATTGCTTTGTTGATATATTCGTTGTTCATTGTTAACTCTACCAAGTTGATTGTAAATAGGTACTTTTTTCTTTACTATCATTGATTATATGATCGAGTATAATTTCATAAACGTTTTCGAGTTGAACAAACAAACCTATTATAGATGGCAATAGGCCTAATCTTAACCATCTTGTCCAATATAGAAAAGTTTCTTGTTCAGTGTATTCAAGCAATGATACAAGATCTTTATCACTGTCTCTGATCAATGTGAAGTACACTTGAAGATATCGAAGATTTCGCCATTCGTTTAATTTCGTGAATAGAAAGAAAAATCGTATGTATCAAAAACAGAACTTTCTCTCTTTTTGTTTCATAATATTTAACTTCAGTAATGCAAACGAAAAATGTTTTTTGGTTGAGAAAAATGAATAGTAATCATGAACGAATTTTACACTCAATTATGGTCTGCAAGCACTGTTCAAAATATAGTGTAGGAAGTCTATTTGTTACCAACACATTTATTGAAGTGTATATCAATCTATGCAAAAAATATGCTATTCAATAACAACCTGAAATTATAGTTGTCTTTGATCTTTGTAGCAAGTCGAGTTTCGTTTTACATTCTGTCTACAAAAATGTCAATATTTAACAAGTCATCTAGAGATATTACTTAACTTGAGTACGTGCTTTATCTTCTTCACGCACTGCTATACAGACGATACTTTGCCCTTGAATCAGATATACAATAATGCATGAAACCAAAAGAAAAGAAAAAGAAAGTTGAAATGCTCTCACCAGGGATCGAACCTGGGACCTTCGCGTTATTAGCACGACGCTCTAACCGGCTGAGCTATGAGAGCACATGAATTTATAAATCACCTTATTTCAGATTTCATATTGGGATTTCATACTCTTAAAACACTCATAGTCTCTGAGATACCAAAGGAAATTTGTGAGTTAGATAGAAAACGGGCGTGTATTTGAGCGTCAGTGGAAACTAGAATCTCACTCACAACTGAACCTCCCACCTGTACTTCACAACTACATTCAAATCAACAGCAACCCACAATAGAGTTCAGAAAAGCTGACCTATCAGGTGAAGAAAATGTTAACATTGTTCTAAATGTTTTAAATAAAGAACATCAACTTCGTCGTTGTCTGTATCGTTGAAGTCCGGATTTAATTAGGAATCGTCAAATTCAAAGTATTCATCGACATCTTGTTTTGGTATTTCATCTGAAATATGATCAAGTGAAGTTTCACTTTCTACACCCAACTAATGAAAGTTGATAATTGATTTTAGTATTTCAGCTACATGGTTGACAATCTGTTGTTCATGAATAGCCGTAGTAAAAACATTAGAAGTTGCACATGCAATCCATTGAGAAAACTTCTCTGATAGAAAAGAAGACTCTACCGATCGATTAATCATTTTCATTAAAAGCTAGCACAATTAGTATTTTATAAAAAAATTAGACTAGCGAATACTAAGTTTCTCTCTCCTAAACCACAATTATCAAGCATTCACAAGTGTATTGTGAGATAAGTACTCCGTGTTCTGACATTTTCAATTGTATATCTCGTAATTCTAAGAAGTAGGATACTAATTTTTATTTAGAACAACGTTAATATTTTTTAAAACTGATAGTTCTGCTTTTCTAACCTTTTGTCTACGCATACCATTACATTATCTTCCACATGAGTACAACTGTGTATGAGGAAAATCTCAAGCTCGTTTCAATTTATGAAATAGTGATTTTTTTTTTGATAAGATAACTTTTCTAGCTTTAATAGTAAAAACGTTCGATCTCCTGAGAAACAAGCTAAGGGCATAAACTATATTCATGATAGACGAAAATTCATTAAGATCTACAAGATGTGCAAAGTACCGACTCAAAAGTACTCGGGTACTTGGGAATTTTTCTTAATATGAATAGGTGGTTCGTAAATTTACGAAGTTGTTCGAAAATAAATCATTACAAAGCTATTATAACATTTCATAATGTAATAGTATTAAGCCGAGCAGTTATGTAGGAACAAGACAGCAATTGATTAACAAAATAATCAGAATTCAAAATGTTATAATATCAGTTTTATCAATCGAAAATATCATATTCAAAAATAGTCGATGGTGAACGAGTCTAGGTTTTTTGAAGTAGAGGTTTGTTCCTTTTTTCTATCGGGCCCATGCCTTTGTATATGTGAATGCTCATTGCTGTACATTTTTGTTTGGTTTTCATAAGCTTTTTTTTGATATATCACCACCCGCTTCAAGAACAGTCCAAAGACGCACATTAAACCACATAGCAAGAGCGTAGCGAAAGTTAAAAATGCAAGAGAAAGTTTAAAAACAGCCAATGTAATAACTGCGATCACAAGACAAATGATAATTGCCAGAGTGATACCCAATCCTAGTTTTCTGTGTCCAACATGAAATGTGAATGCGAAAATTGTTGCGAATAGACCAATCAAACCAGCACAAAGACCTAATTGGTTAAGAACACTGAGAGATGATTGATGCATAATGACCCAACCATAACACCAGGCAAATGTGCCAGTAACATTCGAAAAATTTCCAATATGACCCGGTTGACAAACAAAACTTGCTGTCGGCGAGGATATTACTGTTGTCTTTGGAAAGACAAAACAATCCATTTGATACGCAGGACATTGCTCTCCAACTGACATATTCTCGATATCAAGAAAAAGTCCATTGAATAACAACACTGGCATTAGCGAGAGAATAATGCCTGTGATAATTACAAACATCCATTCAATTTTCGAATACTGTGAAATTGCTTTATCCAAAACAACATCATATATAACGATAGTCGACGATCTGATATCATTTCTTCTGAAATAGATACCGAAAACACGCTCAATCAAAAAAAGTTTTGTGGAGTACGGCAGAAAAAGAACAATAACGATCGTCAGTACTATTAGAGCAGCAGATATGCCAACATTCGCGGCAACATAAGCGCCGTAAGACCAAGACATTCACAGGATGATAATCAGTTGTCCAATAACTGAAAATATTCAAACTGATACGTATTAACTTTACAATAGATTCTGTCGATTTGCTCTTATTATTTCTATGCTACATTAATGCAAATATTGTCATATTCTTTCCTATTTTCCTTTCTTTCTAATCTGCATCTTATCGAACAAAAAGTTGTGGTGTGGTCTTCGAAGTTATTGTGCAAAATATCTCTCAGCGAATAAATTTTTTTCAATTCTGTATACCTAGCATGACTCAACCCGAAACTTATTATTGATCTTGTCCTTGAAAAATTGTGGTTTCATATTCCATAGTCGCGAATGACATCACGAATAACTTTTTAATCATTGTACTTCATCAGAAACGGTACAATCATTGCTTCGAGCATTCGTTCTTATTCGACGGTTGTCTGCTGTGAAACAAGAATGTCATCGAATTTTCTATACCGAGTAAACTAGAAATATCGACAGAATTTTTTCATGAAGACACTGTTGTTTCTCTCGACATTTCTAAGACTACGATTTTGTGTATGAGTGTAGATGTCGGAGTGAGCGTAAGTAGTCACTAGATGAAGGGCCACATCCAGATTCTTTCTCCAACCATCTATTTCATCTTACTTATAGTAAGTCTATATAAGCAAGCCAAAGTTCGATTTGGAATGAGAATGATTCAAAAAAATAATTCCCTTTTAAAACATGTATTAATTTAAAATTTTCTCTACACGATTCCCTTTTCACGATATCTATGCATAAATCGATTCACTTCATCGATTTCTCTAGAAAATTGTCTTATTTATCGCTGTGCAGGAGACGATTTGTTGAGATTTTGATAGCAAAGAAGTCCTTTAAAAAATGCCCATACCACTCTAGCTGAAGACGCCTAATTTTGAATATTCACATCTGAAATGTAACAACTTACTCTTCTTGGTTTCTTCTTGTCTGGCTTGTGACAAATGATCGGTTTAAAACATTAACAGAATGAATAATATGCCATACACGCAGTCAAGTTTCTCTCTGAATATCATATTTATTTTTTTTTCTCCATTCCTCTATACTGATTCTATTTACTATGTTTTTTTTGTTATTATAGACCTCTGTATTATGTTTTTTGAAAGCTTTTTTATGACGTATAGGAAGAAAAATCAGCATAGAAAGGCATTGGCAACTGCTGAAAAACTGAAAACAATCACTCAACTGTTACTTTATTTTTTTTCAAACTACTTCGATGCGTTGATGTCGGTAAAATATCTTGATTGTCCTTCACCCACACCGTCATGCCATTCTGAATCATTTTCTGAAAGAAAAAATTATCATATTACATATTTGTATATGACCCAGCATTATTTCTATTCTTCTTCCGCTCTTCCTACAATTATTTTCTTATTTATGACATATCAAAAGACATTTCTACTCAAACTAGTCATGTTTTCTTGTGAATCATCAATATTGCGTACTTGGAAGTAACCACGTAGAGTAATTATACATCTCAAGATGTTTATTATGTTAATGAGGAGTAGTAAAAATGATTGTATTGAATACGGGTAGTATGACAAGATAGAAATGTATTAATGATTATATGTCATTTTATATGGTACTCCTTTTGCAATTCACATTGAAGTTAACAATAGTTAATCTCTTGAATAGAACAGTCACAGATACAATTCGTAGATTGGCAACTCGAGGTAAGCAAGACTAGAAGCGGTCCCTATCCTGAGGAATGGTAAGTAGAATATTTTTTGATAGTTGGCTGATATCGACACTGAGATGAACGAAATAATATGTTTTCTTTGTTTTACTTGCTAGTTTTCATTTTTATATCTTAACTTTCATCATTATCTACAGCCTCATCTTTAACTAAATATGTTTGAATAAACCGAAGAACTAGGTCTATATCGACTTTTTTACACACATTCACCTAGACTTTGTGTAGATACATAAATGTTTATCAGATTATGTATATAGATTCGCGTCAAGTTTGTATGAGTGCCTTCCATTGGTTGGTCGGAAAACTGAATTGAATTGCTGTTTTAACTAAAAATAGTTCAACATTAGACGATAAAATTTGTATGAAATACTGAGAAACTCATTTTTCATGAGGTACCTTTTTAATATAACAAAGACGTTTTGACTTTACAGATCGAAAAGTCCGATCATTAATTCTTATAAGATTCTGTCAGAGTCAATGTCGGAAATAATCAAATTTCGACTTCATCCGATCGGACCCAGTTCATAATTCAATAACCCGAAACTCAACGAATATTACGTTGGGAAAGGATCTCATTGAATCTTATGGCGAAATTGAAGAGACCCCGCAGCATCAGGTTAGAGTTAAATCAGCGTTCTACAGTAGTTCTCTTCCCTATTCATTATGATTTTGTCATATGTAATAAATCAAAATCTAGGTATCGTTATTAAAATACAGAGCAAAGATATTATCCCTCATATCATCAAAATCAAGCACAAATTGGTGATTTTTTTTCGATTTTTAGAGAAAATCACGATTGACCAAATAATATTCACGATGAGCAAACTTGGTTGAAGTTTTTAGATCTACGGTAATCACTTCGTCTTGACATTTATACCACCGTCACTGACTAACGTTTTCATATATGTTTCTCGTGAATGACAAATAAGATGACTTTTTTTTCGCATACGCAGTAAAAATGATACAATTTTCTTCAATCAAATAATACTTACTAGTCATTTCGTTATCGAGAGACATCTAAATACAATGAAAAATAATATCTATTATTATTAAATGATACTTAGTCTTCATTGGGATGCTGAAGCGACCTTAAGAAAAATATTTATTTCTATCAAATAATGCTTAGTCTTCATGTGCATGCTCAAATGATTTTAAATAAAAGAAAAAATAATATTTGTTATTATTAAATAATACGTAATCTTCATAGAGATGTTGAAATTACCTTAAAAAAAATATTTTAATATAAGTGAGCTCAGATATCCGGACTGTATCTAATGAAGGAAATTCGTTGAGAGAGTTTAGCTGGCATAACCTCCATCTACATTGCTAGGGTTGAGGGAGGATTCAGCACCATTGGTTTTACCACTACTTTATTCATTTTTATGATTGTTTTTCACAGAAAAAAAACAATGAATTTGACTTATTTCTGTACATAGAACGAATTCACGAAATTTTAAAACATAGTCGACAGCTCATTTAATCAAAATGTTCGATGACTAGGTTCTTGGAAATGGATGAAACCTGCTGGCCATTACGACATCATGGTTTATTGGATTGAGACAGATCCGATAGAATTCACTGGCGCACTTGCGATGAAGGAAATTTATCGTTAAAAATTTGATGAAAGAAGAATACATCCTCTTGTAGCCGCTTTTCAGTTACACGGGTATATTGAATAACTGAAACTTAACGTCTCAGCAGGTTGCATGAAATCTACAAGAAATAGTTGATTCATCAAACAACTGAGACAGCCATTCTACAAACGATTTTAATCATAACTAAAGTAAAATGATTACCGCATGTCAATATGATCGCATCTTACAGATAGATGATTTTTGTAGCAAGAAAAAGCAACAAAAGTTTACTGGCAGTCGGGCTCGTAACCAGAATTTTTCGTATGGAAGAGTCATCATGCTGAAAAAAGCTTTGCACTGGCATACACATTTCTTCGTACTTCTATAACCTTCTTAGCAGACTATACAGTTATGAATTTGATAGCCATAGTGATTAACTGTATTTTATCCTATATTTTTGACATATTGAGAAGATCTCTAAATTAGAATAACTGTAAAAAGATTTACATTCATGATGTGAATAAGCTGAAATGTCGGAGGTTTAATAGGTTTTTCTTGTAGGGTGCCCAGGTTTCTTTTCACAAGTGACTTTAAGAATTTTGGTTTGAAGCTTAATATGCGTCAAGATTTTATTTAGACTAGCTTGCATTTAAAATGACAGTGTTGTTTGACACTGAGTCTAAAATATATTACATATTGAAAACTTAAAATAACATAGATGCAATTTTGAATAATGATGCAATTTTTAAAGCAATCAAGTCTAACTAAAATGTTCATGCGCACAATGTTTAGGTCAAAGTTTAAAAAAGGTAAATGCAATGAAAAATCCTACATCTACACGAAAGTCTACTAATTTCAATATGGTGTCCAATGCATGTCATACACACAAATCTTTTTACATGAATTTTATGACTATTACTCACACATGACTTTTTTACATGGCACATCATATCAAGCAGCATTTGTTCAGAACTCCGAACAACCAAAAGTCCATTAGGTGTACACTGGAACCAGATATCGGTGTCATGGTGACCCTCTTCTATATTCTCAAGAATTTTTTAGATAGGCATTTGAAGATAAGAGATATTAGAAAATTTGACATTTTTCCAATGAACTAACTGTTTCGGAAACTAAATGTGTACAAGTTTTATATTCAACACTCCAAAGTCAATGTCGAGATTAAGAGAAATCGGAAACATGACATTTTGTTGAAAAACTCGCTATAATGACCATAACTCAAGAAGAAAGATTCATAGACCCGAATTCTTTTCGATTTTGTATGATCTCAAGACGACGTACCTAATCAAATGAGACTTATCTTAGAAAGGATATATTACATGGCGAAACTCCTTCTACAAATACCATCTGTAATCACTACTCATTTAAGAGTTTTTCAGATTGCTGATGTCTTTATGTTGTTTTTATAGTGAGTCAAAAAAATTATTTCCTTACCTCTATGGTATAACTTTGTTTCATCTATTGTACTCTAAATAAGTAAGCTGTCTAGTTCAAATGCACTTCATAATGAAGTTCTTAGGCTCTAGTTTTCACATTACTAGTGCCAGCTTAGTTCTCCTTTTTCCTACCTATTTTCCTAATAAAATAGAAAGAAAACTAAGAAATAAGCTGGAACTAATAATGTATAAACTAGAGTCTGAGGACTTCATTATGAAGTGCATATGAACTATAAAGCTCACTTAGTTGGGGTACAATAGAAGAAGCAAAGCTATACTACACGAGTAGAAACTAAATTGAAATGTTGTCAAATAATGATTATTTAGTTGAATATCTTAATACAAGTAAAACAACCGTTGAAAAACTTTGAATGCTATTTGAGAAGGATAAATTGATCATATTTTGTGTTTTTTTAACAGCTACTGAATATATTTAATTTTTTACAAGTTTAATGCATTCTAGAAAATTGCTGAACATTATCTTGAGAATCGATAGTGAGTGTCAAGTGATTTTCTCTATTAAAATAAATAGTTAGTGTACAATACTATTGTTCATTGTAGGCAGCATAGTGTTTACAAGTAGGATCATGTCGATGATTTCCATCTTTTCGTATAGGTTGAAAATCTGCTAAACATGACCAACAAAATTCATGACGACATTTAATACAAATCATATGATCACATCCATCATTTTTTTCTATTTGATATGGACAATGAGGGCATTTTTTAGAATTTTCAACAATCCATCTTCGACTAGATTCATAAATTGGATCCATACTCATATCAAATTCTTTACAAGTTAATCCTTCATGCCATTGTATTTTATGTGTAAAACATGTTTTTTGATGACAATTAAAACAAGTAACTATATTATTTTGTGCACCACCTTCATTTAATTGTCCAACATTACATAAAACATTAGAACACCAAATAAATTCATTCATTTGTTCTAACTGTCGATAACATACATATCGATCATAGCTTTCCACGAGTTTATCATTACCATTTGATAAGAGAATTTTTCTTACTGTATCATAATCAAATTTAACATTACAATCATGTTCAGGACAATAAATATCATCAGTAAATGTTATTTCAAAAACTTTTTGAACATGTTGAAAAAGACAAGAATTACATAATAATCGATTTAAATGTTGACAATTTCTCGTGATTAAACCATCAAATTCATTTAAATCTTTATCTTCATAACATACCATACATGTTTGTTGGTTCTTCTTTATAGGTAGCGATGATGATCTATTCAAAACAGTCATACTTAGTATTACAAATTAATTTTTGAACAAAACCTTAATAGTCTAACCAGAGAAAAGACAAGTAGAGAGATAGAACTTACATTATAATGAATTTTCTTCCTTCTGAAATACTTTTTTCTGATTATATCAGTAGAAAAAAAATCTGAACTTTTGTTTTTACATATTTGTATAATGTAACAGATTTTTCATAAGAAATTTCCGATTAAATAATTCGAACAAAGATGAAAAACATATTTTGTCAAAAATATGATTAAAATTATGTAATATAATTTTGTTTATGTTATTATTCTTGATATTATTGCTTACGAAAGAACAACTCACCGAATATTTTTTGCAACGATCATTTTTGTCCAATATTGATTAAATACATTTTTATTTTGCATTGTATCCCAACCAAGAAGGCAAAGAATAATTACGCTGATTATTAAAATAAGTCCATATGATTTGAAAAAAATATCAACATGTCTTATGAAAAATAAATTATCATCACCAATAATAATCATCGATTGGTATATATATAAAATAAATAGATAAATAATACATGATGATATTAACCATCGTAAAGAAAGTATTAAATGATAATCTTTTTTATTTTTAAACAAATAGAAAATAGAAAATATTGAATTGCATTGATGTTTAATATGTTTATTGTAGTTAATTGAATCGATCCACAAGATTTGATTTAAAAAAAGATCATTTAATTGATAAATTAATATAGATAAACTTAGTTTTTGTCCAATACGAAATATATTTTTAGTTAAATATCGAATAATACTAATATTAACCAAAATAAAAAGTAATAAATCAAATAAAATAATAATTTTTCTTTTCCATTCATAATCACATTTTCGATGTACAATATCAAGATTAATAGTTAAACGTATTAAAGCAAAAGTTAAAGATAAAATAAAACGTATTGATGGATACATTGTCTTTTTCATTTCTATGTTAATAATAGTTAAATTTTCTTTATTAAAACATTCTATTTTATTTTGATAAATCAAAAGTAAATTGATTATATCAATTAAAGGTAGAATTGATTCAAAGAATTTTAAAATTATTATATAAATATTAAACAGACCATGATCAGATACCATTATCAATATTCCAAATAATAAAATAAAACATATTAATCCTATAAAAATAATACCAATTAATTTAGTTAATGTTATTGATGATTGAATATGTTCTAACAATGTTATTTTTGGATAGATATTCAAAATAGAATTAAATATTAATTCCATTATAATATTACTAAGTAGACTTATTAGTAAAAGAGTAATTATTTTTAGACGTGTAACTACCATTTTATGCAAATAAGAATCACTATATATTTTCAATCATTGATGGTATATAATTGTATAACGTATCAATCTATTTGAAATGATTGTTTGCCTACTGTTATTGTTCGATTTATGTTTTGAAGAAACTACTGGGATTTTTTTTTCCCAATAACAAAATATTATAACAATAAGCAATTGTGTTTACCTGGAAAAATCCACAGTGCATTAATGAATCATTATTATAGAGAACAATAAAAAACACGAAAGGAAATGACATCATGTCAAATATACAAAATATTGATTTCGATCTGCTATGAATCTTTCTTTGATGAATAACAGCAAACTATATTAATCATATTTCTAACGTTTACATTTACTTGAATTTTTATCACACTACCTTTTCTCTTATCAAGTCAAACAAAAGAAGAACGTTTCATGCATGCGGCGTAGGTAGATATCAAAGCTACAACAAAAATCTACACATGTACATACTTTTCTATTCATTTTTCTTGTCTGATGCAAACGTTGTTTAAAAATATTTTATATAAAAACATTTATAAATTTCGGAAGAAAATAAATTCTAAAATACATCTTGATACATATCATTTCATTAGTTAATATACATTTATGTATTATTATATGAATTCAATGAGCAAGTTTTTCAAAATCAATCTCATGTTTACATTTTAAAACTAATCAATAACAATAATCAATAGCTTGTCTGAATTTCATAAAGAAATATTGAACAACATGAGATAAATCTGGGTTTTTTTTGTAACATTTGAATGTGTAAGTAGTACAACCTTAGTCAATTTACAAGTCTATCAATTTCTATACTTATTCATAAAGTGAATTTAACCTCTGTTCTACTGAAAATAAGCGACAAGTAAGTCAAAGGGTGTGGGTGTGGGTGTGGGTGTGGGTGGGGGTGGGGTGGGTGTGGCTGTGGATGGGGTGGGTGTGGCTGTGGCTGTGGATGGGGTGGGTGTGGGTGTGTCTGGATGCGGGTGGGTGTGGGTGTGTTAATTTCTACTCTCGCCCACACCCACACCCACACCCACCCTCACCCACACCGGCACCCAAGATGTTTCCTAAAAACAATATGATCTCGTGTTAACAACACGGATGATAATAAAAATCTCAACAGTAATATAGATACTTTCATATTTTACATAATTTTCTCAAATACTTGTATAAAAGTGAAAGTCATCATATCATTTTTAGAAACAAAGTTTTTATTATAGATTGACATTTAATTGCTATTTATTAATCATGGGACTTTAAAAATTTCGATGATCCAATTGAGTTTTTATCGTTGACGTTGAAGTAACACCCTGGTTTGTAGGTGAAACAACTATCCACCTTGTCAATATCACCAATAATTACCACCCAAGTTCCACCTTCCTCTTTCGAAAGCATGTTTTGGACTTCTTCGGCGATTTCAAACCTATTTGATTTCCCATGCTTTTTAATCAATTTGCTTAGTTTTTTCAATATTGCTAGCGTATTCTTGAAATTCATATCGTGTCCATCTTCAATATTGCAGCTCTGCATACAGCCAATTTCGGCCACGTCTAAACAATAAGGGTGTGGGTGTGGGTGTGGGTGTGGGTGGGTGTGGGTGGGTGTGGATGTGGGTGTGGGTGTGGGTGTGGGTGTGGGTGGGTGGGTGTGGGGGTGTGGGTGTGGGTCTTGAACTCAATCACATGCACACTCACACCCACACCCACCCACACCGACACCCACCGACACCCACCCACACACCCACACCCACACCCGCGAGCGGCAATTGGAATGAGAAATGACAAAGTGACTTTTTATCTTTTGATCATAGTTTCCATTTAAATCTCTATATTTTGTTGTAGTCACTCATTACGTTAGACCTTAGTGGCGAAGAAATTGATGACAATGACGCACAGCATATCGCAGATGCATTACGAAATAACTCAGTTCGAATAGGTCACAGTTTTTCTGTATCGTCAATTATTTACTCTTTTTATAGACACTAAAATCACTAGAACTCAGAGGAAATCAAATCAGCGACGTTGGTGCATACTACCTCGCTGATGTGTTAAGATGCAACACGGTAGGCTTTCTGTTCTTCTCATCTTTTATAGATCTTTTGGTTCTAACAGAATCTAATAAAACTTGGATTCAAGCGTAACATTGGTAGCTATTGTGTTGCTGTAGGTGTGGCGATTGAAATGCGGGACAATGAAGTAATTTCCAGTGAATTACAAGTGTTTAATACAAAGTCATCATTTAACGTAGACACCAACTACATTGGACATCAGTGGTCAAGAAATCAATGCCAAAGGAGCAGAGCATCTTGCGAATGCATTACAAAATAACACAGTAATTTTCTGTGCTTTCTCTTCTTCTCTCCTATTTCTCTTTTCATTAACAAAGACACTGAGAACACTGAATCTTAGTTATAATGACATTGGTGATAGAGGTATGCAACATTTGAGTACTGCATTACAAAACAACAAAGTAATTTCATGCCAATAATTACTTCATATGCATTCTTGATACTTTGATAGAAACTCTATAAACTGAACCTTCTTGGCAATCATATCGGAGATAACGGGTCACGATATTTGGCCGATGCATTATTAAACAACACGGTTTACTTCTTGTTCTCGAAAGATCGATCATGACTATCCATATGTTTTCACAGGTGCTCACTACATTGGGTCTTCGAGATAATAACATTGGAGGCGCGGGTGCACAATATTTGGCTAGAGGAATAAGAAATAACACAGTAACTATATTCACTGGTGTCTCTCTCGCTCTTTCTCATTTCTATATTCATCATGTTTTTGCAGACACTTTGCACAGTCGACCTTCGTTGCAATGAAATTGACAATGAAGGTATACAACATCTAGCTGATGCGTTGAGAAACAACAAAGTAGTTGTCATCTTTTCTTTGCTCATAATATGATTGTCTTCTTTGAATCACAGTCACCTCCTACTCTGTATCTTCAATTGAAAGAAATCTTAGCGACAGATGCATTATGTCTACCTGATGCATTACGAATCAACACGGTAATATTCATAGTTTTGACAGAAGCTCCTCATATTTGGTCGGTTACTTTCGTAGACATCACTGACATTGCATTTTGATGATACAGAGTTCCAAGAAAACTCTCAAAAACAAATCGTAACAATCAACTACTGAAATCATGAACAGACATCAAAACAATGTTGGTTATTTGATTATCTTAATGATGACTGCTTCTCTATCACTAAATTAATATCTTTTTTTCAATAATCTATTTCTCTTCTATTAACGTTGAAGTAAAAAATCTGAAGTAATATACTCATTTTTCTCGACAACAATGGGGATGATCGATTTGAAACTTTGACTACGGGTGGGAAGGTCGGTGGATAATTGTGGATATTTGGACGAAGAGAAGAAGGCTCTCACCCACACCATATCCTAAGGAAGAAATAAATGAACTATATGTATCATTCATTATTCGTAGTTGTAATGCATACATTCTTAACTTGATAAAAACCAATGACATTGTTCTTTTACAACTGTTCTGGCACATAAAACGTTTTGTTTTAAGTCTTGACTCATTTCGCTTGATGATAAGCGATAGTATTGCATGATATTTCTAGTCAATGTGGGTAGAGTTTCGAATTGTATCTATTTATTGATCAATTTGATAATTTTAGTAAGTATCGGTTCTATATGAGCATTGATGGGGATTATTATTTCATCCAGTAGAGGGTGTGTGTAAATCAATGGAAAACAGACCGACACATTTCTTGAAGAAAAGATAAGTCCAATCTGCTTATCTCAAATTTTACTTTCCAGTAATCGATTAAATGGAAAATGAAATAACAATACAACGATAAATTAAGGCGCTTTGATTAAAAGAATCAATGAAATACAAAGTTCAATTCATCGACGCGTTCATATTTTGTTAAACTATTAACGCTTATCACGGCTCTGCATTACATTTTTTAAGCACTGAGAAGAAAAAAAATTAAGTGACAGGAAAAATTGAGAGTAGAAACAAAATCAAAAACAAAAAATAGAAATCTATATCGTAAGACAAAACAGAGCAGTTGAAAGAGAGTATTGCAAAGAATTTAAAAAAAACAATCTATCCTATGTATTGTATATTGGACTAAAATTTTTTTGACAATAATTGCACGTTTTGGCATTGTACACTTGTATCGAATTATAATCTCTTTCAATAAATTGACCGACAACAAATATCAGTGCAAAATGAAGTTGTTATAGTATATTTGCGAATGGTACATTTTCAATATAGTAATTAATTATTAATAAAAAAAAACGAACTGATCATTATCCAATTAAATTTTAAATTTGTGTAAAATTTGTGTGATCAAATTCATGTTGCCACTAGTCTGAAGAATGTCTGTAACCAACTCCGTAGTTAGATGCCATCACTTCCTATGGACGATTTAAGGATCAATAGAATCAAATGATTGAGCCTGATGGATACAATAATAAAATATGCTATCAATTTAGATTTAGAATTGATTAAGATTTACTAAAAGATGCAAACGAAAAGTAATCGAGAATAATCTGCTAAGAAAAAACAATATTTTATTGAATCAGAAAATAAGGTGGGAAGAATCAACAGTTTTCTATAAAAGTTCAATCTTGTACATGATGAAATCAAATAACAGAATTGATGTTCGTTTTTCTTTCATAAGTACAGTGTAGAAATAAAATAGAAATAGGGTGTCTCGTATGCAATGAAATGTCATGATCTGCCTATCATTGAAAACATTCCACAATGTTTGATATATGAGAGAAGATGGGTAGTGACATGTTCTAGTCTTTTTCAAAGATGTAAAAATTTATGCTTAGATACATCTTATGATACAAGCAACCAAAAAAAAAGAAATGAAATACAGTTTTCTGTCGCTTTGTCTTTTGTTCTTACAAATGAGTAAACGTCTTTTATTTTCTCTTTTATTTTCAAAGAAAAGAAAATGGCAACTCTAACAATTACTCAGTAGAAGAATAGTGAAGTTT